CATGCACAAGCTTTTATGTTTACCATATGCAATGTGCTTTATGCATGTGTGTTTATACAACATGTGAAAAAAAATTTATCATATAAATTGATCAAAAATCTTCAAAAGATGAAAACACTTGATTAATGTGGATTAGTTTTCTGATGCCTTTATGACCTTTTTTTGGAAGTTTCGGTTTCCTGGACTTTCAGTCGAGAGACAGAACCCTCTAAAAATGTCTTTATTTGGTTTTGGAGATTAACCAATGTTGTATGGATTTGGAAATACATGATGGTGAGTAAATGATGACAGAATATTCATTTTTGGGTAAATTATCCATTTAAAATCCTTGAATTAAAAGTGTCCAGATCTTGTCCTGTCAGAATATTCATCTCACCACTGAACCAGAAGCATTTAAGGGACGTGTGCTTGGAGTCTGTAGTTCTTGAGATTATGTTGGTTCAGATCATTTCTATTTATTTATTCATAGCCTGTCCACTTCTATGACTCAGTAAATCTGAAAAACAGTAGTTTCCTGTAAGTCAAGTATTTGTTTTTGGTTGATGAGAGGCATGAGATGTAAATGCTTTGAAATTGTCAGATGGTGCTCAACAGGAACTGCTTCCAACACAAATGATATATGTTAAATTTCCACCTCCGGGGCGTTGATGTTGATTACAATGGCAGCGAGAATATGAAATTTACTAATCGATATTAATAGTTTAAGCTTATTAGCAAAATAACAGAATCATCATGTCTAATTTTACTATGTAGTTGACTTTTTTCTATTCTGTGTTTTTAATTTATGAAAGAATGTAAGATGTGACTGACCTGTGATTGAATGTTTAAATGACTCAAAGCATCTGGATAAAGTTGTTTGTTCTAATAAAACCAAATGTAATTTGTTGTAATAACCTAAATCAATAAAAACTTTTCTGAATGAACTGCTTTCATGTTTTGATTATAAATATTATTAATGCATAGCACAGCTTTTCTGAGTTTGATTTATCATCCTGACTTGCTTCTGTTCCGGTTTGGTTAGCTCAGTAAGCAACATCAGTGGTCTGAAGATCATGTGATTTCCTATGGGAAGTTTCACATTCGGTCCTCTGAATTGAAAATGCATCTAATGACATAGCTCAAATATTTAATTATCTTATGTAATAATGTAATAACGAATAATTGCATTTCTGGACAACATTTTGCACAGATTTTTTGCACCTATAACAGTATTAAAGCAAGTTTGGTGACATGTCTCTGATAGGTCTGGGCTGTGAATAACAGTTCCAGCAGGAAAAGCCTGTGTAACGGTAAGCTTTAAAAAACAATATATTTGACATTTAATGCATTTACGTGCATTATGCTATTAGCTTTCTAAAATGGTCTCAGATTAAGAACGCACTTTCTTTATTGTAAATATATGTTGTCTTCTGATTTTCTCACAATCCCACTTGAATCTCAGTCCTTAAGCCTTGATGTTGTGGTATCAGATCCGTGAGTATCAGGATGCAGATTACTCTGCTGTGAGGACGATATACTCCACTGGGTTCAGAGAGCATGTTGGAACTGTGTATCTTCTGTCATTGAAGCAACCATGGATTCAAGCTATGCTGTGTGGATTCTGTCTTCTCACTTATATCCTCTCCGGCTCGATCCTGACCTGCATGTTGTGTGTTGGAGGGGTTATGCTGGCTACTCGGATGGCAGTGCAGTATATTTTTGAGCAGGGTATTCAGCTTGGGCTCAGAGAGGATCTGCTGGACATCAGGAACTCCTACATGCAGCCTGGAAGCATTAGCTGCTTTTGGGTTGCAGAACTGAAAGGGTCTATTGTCGGGATGTTGGGCATTTTGCCCTGTGTGGAGGAGCCAGGTGCTTGGGAACTAAAAAGGATCTCTGTGAAAAAGGAGTTTCGGGGTCGTGGCCTTGCG